TTAAATATTGTGAGTGAATTTACTGGGTTCAGTTCAGGCAAAGGCTTCAAACACAAGGCATTTGCTCAAGTGATAAAGGGAACAGAGGAATAAACCACACCTTGATCTGCTCTTGGATTAGCACAGGAAGCCAACAATTTAGCCTGAAAAACACAGCTTTTTGTCAACAGGAAAACACAAAACCAAAGGCTCCAGCTTAGCAAGTGGGGATATTTCTGTCAAGGTAGGAAGGGAAGACTCAAGGGGAAGATAACACAGGGGGGAAAAAAAGTGAGAGAAGGCAGATTTTGTGCTTAATGTTTGTATGCCTATTATTGGGTATGCAAGTTGAACATACACAAAGGGAAACCATTCTTCCCATACTTCCAATTCAGACTGTGTATGCAAAGAGTTTCTTGCCCTCCATCTTCTGCACAGATTTGTAGGAAGCTGAAGATACAAGCCTTGACTTGGGGCAGGATAAACATCTGGGCTGGTCATTACAGCTCAGTCAGAGTCTAGCTTTTGCCAAGACTGTTCACAGAAAAGTCTTTGTGTCAAGGAAAGAAAACAAATGGAATTTCAGGAAAAGACGTGTCTCTGTAAATTGAACAGATATATGTTAAATAAAGCCAGTTCAGATATTGGTTTTAAATCACTTGCTTTTTTTCTTAGCAGAAAACCAAACAACAATAATGCATGATGCAAAGGAGGAACAAGAGCCCAACTCACTCAGTAAACAACACAACTTGCTTGAGATATTGCCAAGTTCATAAACTTTAAGATTTCTGTGAAGTCTTCATTTACAAAACACAAGGAGCCCTGGCTGCTTCTGCAACCAATCTAACCAGGCACTTAGCAAGTTTAATGAGGAGGGACAGCAACTTTGACTCCTCCATATAAAGAAGCCTATCCAAATGTCTTGGGGCGACTTTATGACACTGTATCCACTATCATCTGCCTTATGCCCAGACCCAAGTGCTGTATCTTTAAGTTAGGTCCAGGAGAGGGGGAAGAAGCCAGTGGAGTTATTTTCAGTGGCCTGAAAAGATATGACAGTGGCCTGTCATATCTTCTATGAATTGTTTTAGTGCCACATGCTCAGAAACATGAGTCAGTTTTGGGGGGCAGCCTAACATCCCCAAAACTTCAGCCCCTCGCACCTCACACACCGCCACCTGAGCTGGGATGTCACATCCTCTCATGTGGGAGCACTGACATTAAGGAACCTGTGTTCCATCCACCAGGTCCCCAGAAATATGACATTAGTTCAAGGCAAAGCAGATATAACATCTTTCCACATGCAGTACTGTGGCTTTTTCTTGACACAAGAATGAAGACAAGCACAGCTCATCTAGCAAAATAAGAATGGGATAGGGCAACAACATGTTAACAGCCATACCTGCTCCCTGACATGAATAGCAAACCTTCCCTGTAGCATTTCTGAGTGCAATTAAACATATGGATCAGGGATGTTTTGGTAACAGCTGAAATGCTGTTAAGTTTACTGCATCATTTATGAGTGCAACTGAGAATATTAGCTTATTAGCAGAGGGCCTTTCTCATCAGACAAGGCACTGTCAAAGTGAATCAGCCTCTACATCTGTAGCAGAAAAAAAAAAAATCTCTTGGTAAATAGACCTAAAAGGTTTCCATGTGGTGTGGGCTTCTCTTCCTTCAGTTCCAGGAAACAAAGAGGGGGAGAGAGATAAGAACCAAGTAATCCTCCTCCATCAGTGATGTGCCCAAAGTCTCATAGGATATTGGCAAGGTGGCTTACCTATTATCAAATATTGTTATTTGCACCAAATAAGGCAAATTTAGAAGCCAAATATTCTTTCAATTTCACTTTCTGTGTCATTGACCTGAGTAGCCCCAAGCCTGAATGCCAGAGGTTATTTTGGCATGGAAGAAGGAAGATGGAGCCTGTTGTAGAGTAAAATCTCAGTGCATTAGCAGCTGTATGACTAACTGATACCTTAACACTGCAACACATATATCTGGTTTCTGTGAAAACATGCTAATTTATTCATGGCTGGATTTACTTATAAATGAAAGTTAGCAGGGCTAGGGATGTTATGGTCTGCTTTGCCCTGACCATAAAGGCTTCCTAATAGATGTCTGAAGCTGCTGGATATTACTGCAATATAAATAATAAATAATAATACATCATTTTAATGTAAACAGAGGCATTCCACATTGAAGTACCTTTTCAAGTGCGTTTAAGATACAGAACTATTATAGTTCACACTTGAGTAGCCTACCCTTGAGGTAACAGAGACATAGATATAAGCTGTGACATTTAAATTAGCAGGAAACATCAAACATAAATAAAAAAGTCATCTGTGGTTGTTTCTGGAAGCTGATCACCCAGCAGCACTAGGCTTTATGGTCTGGGTAAACTTATGTGATTTAGTGCAGAAAGACTGTAATAATTAACATGTTGATGCCTGTTCTCTAAGTTGCTTTCCTGAAATGGTTTCCCTTTCTGCTGAAATGGCTTCATAGAAAAATTGACCCAAACTTGGGTAAGTTCCTCTTTGTAGGAGCTGCTGTGTAAAGCAAAAGCATGTCCTTTTGCACAGATCTAGATAATACTGACATTTTTGTCACTCATGCTTGAAAGCTCAGATTTTTAGCTTGGAAAGACAAGGCCAAATAGGGCTGAATGGAAACTCATTCTGCAGGGGTTTGATGAAGAGAGGTTGTGACTGCTGAACAATTAAGAGACATTTCACTTAAGTTTCATTGGATTTTCTCTGGTGCTTGCTTTTGTGTCAAGTGCCATTAAGGAAATACTGGCTCCATTCCCAGGCCTTTATGCAGTCCTTAAGTTGTATCTCAGAGCATCCCTTCTGGATGCCTTCCCTGCAGGCAGCCAGGGATGTTCTCACACCTCCCGGTCACCACACTGCCAAGCCCTGGCAGACACTCACTGGTCAATATTTGGTCACTCTGGGACCTTGATGGGTTTGTCTAGTGAAAGGCAGATGTAGAAGGGGAAATAAAAGGAGCAAGACCTCAGCCCCTCATTAGGAAATGGCATTTTTCACTATGGAAAATATTAAGCGTCTTCTTTACCTGTCTGCAGCAATAGTCCCCACTGCCTGGCCAAACTCCTCTGATGTCCAATACCTTTGGCTCTTTTAGCTTGCTCATTGTTTGAGTTTTTTCTTTATCCTTACTTATCCAGACTGATTTGTCCTTATTCCAATTGAAGCTTAACCTTTCTAGTCTTAGCCACATGAAAACCTTTCAGTTGGAATGTCCCCTCCACGTGAAATATTCTACTCTATTCTATGATCATGTTTGTCCAGGTTTTGCTCACAACAAGGATTTTTTTTGTGCATAAACCCTGTCCTCTTGCCTCTCTGCTCATCCACTCCCCTCTGTGCAGAGCAGGCTCTACATGCAGGATAAATTCTAATGTTAGAATAAAATTTTCCACTTGTATTTGAATTTACCCTCTAAATATTTGCTTATGGTAATGATACGTGAAACTGGCTTGCTACCCACAAGGTTTGTAGCTGCTATAAATGAAAATTGAATAGGCTTGACATGATTTCTTGTTAATCATCTTTCTTATTCTTATCTTCTAGATGTTTACAAACAATCTGCTCAGCTGCTCCACTGCAGGCAGCAAGAGTCAACACACTGGGTTAAATAATGTTTAACAACAGTACAAGTGATTGAAAGATATAGACATACTTATGTATACTTATATACTTATCAATATATTAAAAATATGTCATAGATGCATGTACATGTGTTGTACCTGTGTAAACTTAAGTCTAACAGAGGTGCCTCGTGCTGTATTGCCAGATATTTGTGGTATTAAATTTAATTAAATAGAAAGATCATGTCGGCCTAGGCCAGCTGGAAATGTCTTTCCTCTGGAACTGTGTGGTCCAGACTTACTCTGTCAGCTCAACATAACCTGCTAAAAGCCCTCTAGTTCATATAGGAAATTCAACCTAGTGAGTAAAGAGCATATCCTTCTCAATCTCCTCTTCAGTTCAAAACACAGACATAAACTGAAATGTTCAGCTGAGGTGTTCATTAATGCCAAAGCAATGTTGTGGACTTTGCTATAAAGACCAAGTAAAAGTCAAGGCAACATTTCTAGGAAGCTGGCAGAGGTGACAACCCAGCCTTGGCCCCAGAGGTCGCTGCAATGGCTTGAAAGCAAATCTCGTCTCTGCTCCCAAGGGCCAGAGCTCAGGATGGATAGATAAGGAAGGAACCAGACAGGCTTGTCCTGTTCTCTCCACTGCAACATGAATTAGTTCATCGTGGATCCAAGAACACTGCTCTGGAGACCAGTCACAGACACTTACAAGTGGAAGAGGTGAACAAGGACATGTTAGGAGACATTCTCTTACTGGGTCAGCATCCTGTCTATCGCTCAGTGTGCTGTTGGTACAGCCCTCCCAAGCTGCCTGGGAAGCCTTGAAGGGCTCATACATGGTGACACTCATGACCAATCCTTAAGTCCTAGCCAAGACTACATCTTCCACTGCCATAAAAACAATAAACACAAGGAAGTTGTAACTTGTTTTTTTTTTTTTCCCATTGCATTAAGCAGGAACATTTTTCTTACTGGTATCAGTTTGCAAGATTTTGTTCAACTGCACTCCCTATGCATCATTTTAAAACTTCTGGTTAGAAATGCACACAACTTATCACTGTCAGCTGTGAATGCTCATAGCAATTCTGACATTTCCACAGATTTTAAGAAATTTGAGGCAGGACAAAATTTGGCAGCTCCACTGATAAGCAATATTATTTTCTTTGAAAAGACCCAATTCTAATCAACTTGTGGCAATGTAGTGATTTTGCATCAATTTATCTTCGTCAAAAGCTGGGTATTTTAGAAGTAAATTTCACCAGCTTCACTGAGAAAATGAAGCTGTTTTTCAACATTCAGTGCTTCCTTTCTGACCACTTAAATTTTAGGTTTACAGTCTTTATGAAGAGAAAACATTTATATTGATTAATAGAAAAAAAGGTGTGGGCTTTGCTAGTGGTAAATTGTTTAGAAAAGATCATCTTCTGACCTAGAAGAGTCTCTGCTCTCCTCTGCTGTGTTGCATTAAAACCTGGCCCAGAGGTGATGGTGTCCACTTCTTGCATGATAGGGTTTTGCTCCTGTTGTCCATGAGATCTGGAGCTGACACAAGAAATTTGTATTAGAAGATCATCAGATAAAAGAAGTCATGTGAGACTTACTAAAAGAAAGGTGGGAGGAGGGAGAGATATGTCAGCAGGACACAGTGCTTTATAAGAGCCTAGACTTATCTTTATAGTGAATGTTATCTGTAAGATTGATAAATGTGTGACAGCCTGGAAAGGAGAGAGAAGACAAAGTCATTGTACTGAAAAACTAGGCCTGGCAACAAAATAAAACCCTATAAAATAGTTAAAAGCCTAATAGCTCACTAGAGCTTTTTGCCAGAGTGAGTCCTCTATGTCCAGTAGCTCTCTAAAGCCATTAGAAAATGAAAGGAGTTTTAATTCAGCCCTATTTCTTTTCTTTCTGGTTTTACAAGGGGTGATGTGGCAATTTAATTATACTGTTTTGTGAACTGGTATTATGTCCTCCAAGAAAAAGAAAGAAGTTTTTTTATTGTTCCATTATGCAATTGTTGCTACTTTTTACGCCCATTCCAGCTTTGTTGCAGTAACTCAATATTGTAGCCTACATTAATTTTTTTTTCTTTAACCATTCCTTCTTTCACACCAGTAAAATATGCTGTGCAAACAAAAGCACGTTACCCAGGCAGCGTATGAGCAAAGCCATTCCTTCATTTCTTGATTCCTCAAATAGCATGCAAGCCCCAGAGGAACGTATAGCAAAGTAGTGGGGACATTTTAGGGACATTTTCTCCCTGTCTTAATGTTCAGAAAAACGAAAGGTTATGTGACTCATCACAGTAGTCTCCTCCTGAACCAAGCACACCAACAGCCCAGCAAAAACTGATGGATGAAGCAAGCCACAACTCAAATCCTATTCTTTTTATGTAAAACCCTCACCCTTTGTCCTTTTCAATTATGTATGGTCATGTTCTCACAATAGCTTCTGCTGTCACTGTGATTTAAAGATAAGGTTTATTTTAAAAGATCATTTGTTTCTAGTGAAAACATAGATAGTCTAATCAGATAAATAAGTGCACAGTTTTTGAGACCCCCCCTTGTCATGGATTTTTTTCCTCCTTCCCCAGAGCCTACCACCTGAACCTCTTGCTAATCATTTCAAGGCTATTCAGAAGGTAGTCCCTGCATAATTTTTAGCTTAGCATAAAAAACTGCATAATTGTTATTCATTTGGCTTGGCAGTTATTACACACCAAAGTGACCTCTGCTTCTCAGTTAATTATAAATAGTTTTGTCTCTTGGATAAAGTGAATTAGCTCAGTTTTAAGATCTTATCAATAATTTAAATAGCCATTTCAAACAAATGAAATAGAAGAAAAAAAACCACACATAAAAATAACAGCAAAAAAAAACAAAACAAAGAAAAAAACACAACAAAGGAAAAGAACCAACCCTACACAGAAAAGGCCAACTTCCAAGTGTAAAGCACCAGCAATTTGTTGATTCACTAGTGAGGGCAGAATTCAATAATAAAGCTAAATGAGGAACAAGTTTTATTTTTCCATGAACACAAACCCAAGCATTTGCTGTGGAGCAGAAAGAGTTTGGAGGTCTGATCCCTGCCCAGCATGGTGGGCCATTAGCCACAGCTGTCGGAGACATCTGCCTGACCCAATTACCATCAAAGCCAAGCGGCAACAGTGGCGCCATCAGCCACGTCACAACACCCTTCCCTCTATGCTCAGCTGCTACCCAGCAAACAGGCTTCTACTTGGCTTAAAACAGGGCTCAGAAATGCCTTTGCTCCTAAGCAAGGTCATGTTTGGGTGAAATGCACGTGTAAGTTTGATGGCATCCATCAAGCCCTGAAGAAAAAAACATAATTTCTGCTAGGAAACGGCAGCCAGAATCTCTTGCTGGTATCTGGTAAGATAAGCTCTAGTCATAAAAAATACATACAGCATAAGGTCAGGTTTCACTTTGTTCTGCAATTCATTTTAAGTCTCTGGAGGGGCCATCCAATGTGAAGACTTCACAGAGACAATTGCAGGAGGCTACAGCAAAGGGAAGGAACTGAGCCCTGATTTGTCTGTATAACTATATTAGAGGCAAAAAGAAGGCTCTTTTCTTTATAAGTAACACGTAGAGGTGAGCAATGACAAGATTTGCTGTAACAGATAATACTGCTCACTTTATGAGCCCTACTGAAAGCTCCACTGATTGGTATCCAACACTGGGTATTACACAAAACAATGGGTGGGAGCATCACTAACTTTCAATCTGCCTTCAGCTCTTCCCTATGGCACAGAGAGGTTTTCTCTTCCCCAACCCCTCCAACACACACAGGTTTTATGTCAATCTTTAGTTTTGATTTGTTTTAATTTTAATACAGTTTAATGAAATCATAAACCAGCAACACATGGACTTACCCACCTGGTATAAACCAAATATCACACAAACATATCCGAGGTCAGTCTCACCTCAGAATCACCACTTATTCACCACAGCAAACATCTCCAACTCTGAGGTTGAAATATATCAAAATCACTCACTTATCACTGCTGAGCATCCTCTCCTTCATTTTTGATCCTACTTCATCATCTTCACCTCTGACCCTGGTCAGTGCTGGCAGAAATGTGCTCTGTTCCCAAATCCCTCATTGTGTCATTCTGCAACAACTCTTCAGTATTTCCTGAAAGCCTGGAATATTTACTCACAGCTATAGCACTTTTCTTATCTCACTGAGCAAACAGTTGGACACAGAATGCTGGGGAAATCTGTGAAAGAAAGAAAGAAAGATAACAGAAACACATAATACCACTGATTGCCTTCAATTTATAAGAAGAAGGAAGTGATTTCAGGTCAGAAAATAACAGATTTCAGAACCTTGCACAAGTATTACATTCCTTTTCAAATATACTTAATATATCTTTCATTCACAAAAATACCTTTTTCTCCTAACATTTGTCATTCCCCTAAAATATGAAATTAATTTAAAATGGAATATGAAATTAATTCCAAATGCAATAAAGCAGAACTGTTATAGATATCTGTTTCCTATTTGAGGAAAAAAATTACTTAATACAATACTGGACACAAAGCAAACTTTGTCTTCTGATATATGAGGGAGCCTTTCTCCTGTTGTATCAAAGAGGACAGTGGATGGAACCTTAAAAATTATAGACCCTTTCATTTTAAAAGTAAAGGAAAAGCAGAAACTACAAAAGGAAACATAAGTGTAAGATATAAAAGAACCAAGAAATACCAAAAATATTAGAGATTTAACAAGAAAAGGAATACTGATTAAACTTGAGAACATTTGCTCAATCATAAAGAGGCTTGGAAAACAAGGAAGACACCCCACACATCCCCAAGGAGCTGTCACAAGCCCCAACCTCAGCTACTCAAACAACTAAGTCTATCAGAAGATAAAGACCTTCCAAATGTATTTGTTCTCCACATTTAATATTAATCAAAGAGCATTATAAATTCCAAACATCACTCGAGTGTTCTCGCTGTAGGGGAAGAAACTGTGGCTTGACAAAAGTAATGCAAAACAACATCCATAAAAGTGTATACCAATAAGAAAATAAAAAAGATAAATCAGTTGATTAAACAAAGGGTCCTTTGAAGTTGGGATTTGGTTTGCATCAGCACAGAATGAGCTGGGCTGTCGGAAAAATCCACCAAAGATAGAGGTTCCTGACCCTACATGGTGATCCTTGCACTTCTTTTTCTTTTTATTTTCTTCCCAGAGTTTAGCAGCAGCTTTCCAAACCACTGCTCACATCAAAGGCTGCCAGCTAGTGGGCTGAGCTCGGGGCTGGGGCAATGTGTTCCTAAGAACATTATTAAGGAAAAAATTGGAGGCTAACCAAGCAGGTAAGTGGAAGAATGGACACTAGAGATGGAAGTGATGCCTGATCTGCACTCAGAGTACATCAAGTTGCTTTGGCTGACTGGTGTCCCACACATGAACACCAGCATTTGCTGTTTGTATGGGAGGGGCTCAGGATGAGATGAAATCTCCAGCTCCAGCATCCAGCAGATTGTTGCAGCTGTTGCTCACAGGCCCAGTGACATGTCCCAGGCTGAGGTCCAAAGGAAAAGGGTTGGTGGTACCATAGCTCCAGCACCACAACCCACTCCTCCCTATCACCACAGCTTTGCTGCTGCTGTCCAACACTTTATTTTTATTTTTTCTAATGTTGCTGTCTTCACCTATTTTCTGTTGATTCACAGCTTGACAAGGAAAAGGGAATGCATCTCATGTTGCAAATGAGATGCATTCTCATTCACAATCTTTTCCCTCACAATCTTCTCCATCACAATCATTTGAGGTCATTTGTGCTGCTTTTCAGTACCAAGATGACTAATCTCAGCTGCACTTAAATCCTTGTTTGCCAGGGTTTGAAAATATTTGGCAGTGCTAAGCCCAAATAGAAATACAAGCACTGTCAATTCTACCACTCTGAATGTATTTTAGAACTAAGGCCCAGATGTAGGGGGATCCCTTCATTTGTTTCTAAATTTTTAATATTATTTTGAGTGGGCTTTTGGTTTTTTATTACAGCTTCAGAATTTGACCAGAACCAAAGTTTCCTGGTACTTACATTGACATATAAGGTGTTAAACAGCATCAACACATGGGGAAAAAAAACAACTTGGCTTGCCAGATTAAACACTTTGTGTGGGAATTTTGTGAATGTTTTTTCCTAGATAAGACATTATCTAATACTAATGATAGTAATAATGAATGATAATGAATAATAATAATGAAGTTACTTGTAGATTATACTCCAAGTGAGTACATAAAGTATGCTGTATTAAGGTAACTCTACCCAATTTTCCTAAGTGTTCTGAAGGACTTTGAGAAGAGGCAGGAGAGGGGGATGAGGGGTGGTGGTGAGATTTTTCTGTTAATTTGGGGGGAGTTGATATTATTTGGGGGTTTTTCCCCAAATCTACTCACCTGGCTGCCTCACATATCATATTACTGCTATAAAAACACAGCATCTCACTTCTATCCCACCTGGAAAGTAAGAGCCTGTCCCAGAGAGCCATGCTGGTGGAATTGCACACCACCAGCACTGCTTTATGGCAGAGTTTATGCTCACATATATACCATGCACACTGAGGGAACCTTTTGGAAAATAGCAGTATAATTCATTTTGAGAAACATCTTCCTCCTTAACAGTTAGTATGAATTGAAATTCCTCAAAGGAACCAGGCATGATATTTTTCATATTTTCAGAATCCATATGGTTCATTGTTAGATTTATTCCTTTATTATTATTGATTATATAGGGGCTGAGGATGGGCTGAGCTAAACACTCTTTTTCTTTTTGTTTTTAAGTACAGGTTTCATGTCAGTGCTATTGATTCCCAAAACAAAAGGGGTACTGAGACCTGAATTTTTCATAAAACTTTTGAGCCAAGAATGCATGGTTCATTCACCTGGGTAACACTTGAACCTTTTTAATTCATTATTCATTTTATTATTACTTGAAGTTTTTTATTCAACTCCACTGACTTTCTGTTTGGAATTCCAGTTTATCCCCTTGCTCCTGCTTGGTTAAACACCATCTAGTGCCACACCAAAGAATCACATCTCATATTAGCAGCAACAAAAACAAAACAAAAAATCAAACACAAAACTAAATACCCAGCCTTATTTCAGCAATATGTGGGAATTCTGAATAATTCTTAAACTTAATCCTCAAAAAATCCTTAAATTTCACCTTTACAGTATCTCACAGGGTTCAAAACTGAAACAAAATACTGCCTGAATGGGACAAAAAATAAATATAAAGCTATCTTATATGGTACACTTATATACACTTTCATTTATTTATTCATTTTAATTTTACTCTTTACTGTGAGGATGGTGAGGCCCTGGCACAGGTTGCCCAGAGAACAGAGGTTGCCAGATGGGGTTGCCCCATCCCTGGGAGTGTTCAAGGCCAGGCTGGATGGGGCTTGGAGCAGCCTGGGATAGTGCAAGGTGTCCCAGCCCATGGCAACAGGGGTGGAACTGGATGCTCTGTGAGGTCCCTTCCAACCCAAACTATTCTATGATAATGTTGCAGGCTGCTGCTTTGGGAGAGTTTACAGGAGGACACAAACACAGGAGATACCGAATTTAGGATGTTCTCTTTCTCTCCTCATTAGGGAGGGGGATAAGATGCAGTATGTTTAAAATCAAGTTTGTTCTCCACCATATACAATCTCATATTAATATTCCATCTACTTAACCCTAGAGATAAATCATCATTATCAACAGTCAATAGATGGCACTACAAAAGATCAGGGACATTATTCTTGCTCAGGACAAGCCCTTGGGAGCTGTAATGCAATTCCTGGCACACAACTGCACATGAGTGCAGGTTTACACCTTTCCCACCACCTGTGTGCAGGGTCGTGCTCAGTCCTTGGAGAAGCAGGAGCTGTGAGAGAGCTGGGCTCTGCCTTCAGCACTCAGTGATGGAACGACTCTCATCACCCTCCCGGCTGATTTCTTCATCACCGGCTGAGAATAGTCACAGGCTTTGCATGTCACCCATCACTTGAACAGCATTTTAGCTCCCTGGGCAGTAACAGAAAACTCCCAGGTGCATCAGTGTCCCTGCTGGGTTACACCTCGGGGCTGAGCGTTCTCTAATCCCTGACAATCATGACCGGGTGTTAATCACGATGAGTGCGCTGATCGCACTGTAGTTTGCATCAGATGAGAACATGGCTGTAATATTTATTAGATTAAAGTATTTGGGAAACCTCTGTAGAGTGCACTAGAGCACACACCTGAGGTCAGCCAGATGCTGCAGCAGTTTTGGCCTTCATTAAGTAAATGAATTTTAATGACAAATTAACACAAACTTTAAACAATAAGCCCATTTTAATTTCCAGACTCTTTTAATTAATTGTGTTGTACATATTTTCAAGGTAGCAGTAATCTGACAGGCAATATTTTTCAAATAATTCATTCACTCAATTTCTACCTATTATTTAACAGCCAAAAACCCATTTATTCCACCTTTAATTACTGTTCAAAGACACATTTGCTCTGATACTCAAACAGAAAAAAAACAGTTAAATGTTGCAAAGTTATTTCTCACTTACTTTTCAATTCATTAAATGGCTGCCTTTTCCTGCATTCCATCCTAAATAGTCCTACAATGCAGAGAGGGGGAAAAAAACCCAAACAAAAACTGCTGGTTTTGGAATGTAAGGAATCAAATACAGTCCAAATTCTCCTTCCTGCTCCTTGTGACTCCAATCAATCACTTTAAAATAATTGTACCAGGTTTCTAACCTGGAAATGTGTTGCTCAATAAAGCACAGACAAGTGAGTGCTGGTGGAGAGAGGGAACAATTTAATACTTGGCATGCGCATGACAATTTAATACTTGGCATGTACACCTCTCTATCCCTGTTTTCCTTGGAACAGATGCTGTTCTAATTTCTTCAAAGAATCAATAATGCCCATTGTCAGAGCCCAGCACTGTTTAAGATTCAGATTACATAGGGAGACTGAAAATTTATTGCATTGTAAACATAGGCAGAAGGTGGCAGGTAATCTGTAATTAAAGTTTTGCTGTTAATAAAAAAATAAGGGGAAATAAGCAGACTCCATAGTCAGTAAATGCTGGTGCTGCTACACAGTCACCCCATTTTGCAGAGAAAACTGCACTACTGGGCTCTTTTTCTGCACAATTAGCCTAAGGAAGGGTGGTTTGCATTTCCAGCTGCCCAAAACGCTGGCATCCTGTGTCTGCCCTTCTTCAACTCTTACTGCCACCAGAGCCTTCCAAACTTCCACTCCCAGCATTTAGATCTTACTCTCATTCTTTGAAAATTGCATCATACATTCTTTGCTCTTGTTAACTGCTTTTATTTAGGAAGTAAAACTGAAGACAGACCTTTACCTTTAATACAGGTGTGCATTTTTTTATTCTTCCTTGGATCAGACCTGACAGTGCACAAGCTGGTGAGGAGTGAGGTGTTTAATGGAAATCCACAAAATCTTCCTGCAAAGGGTTTATCTCATGGACAGGTAGGAAGATGGGCTGTTCTTCATTCCCTCATGTGTCCCTCCACCTGCACCAGCAAGGTTTTATATTGTGGCTGAGTCTAAAAAGACAGAAAGAAAAACCCTAAACCAAATATCTATTTTCTTTTTCTTTCCCCTCCTTTCACAACTTCCTTGATTTTCAGACTTCTGTCCTTGTCCCACTGTTGGGATTGCTCGCTGCTAATTATCCAATAAAAATAGAGTTGAAGTATTAAATCTATCCCTAGTTAACCCAATGTCTTTAATAATAAAAGAGATTTTGCACTAGGGATAAATACTGTATCTCATTTTCTCACTCTTACAAGTCTCCTGTTACTCCACACTTATTAATACTGCTACTAATATACTGTTCCCAGTCAACCACTAAAATGGTTTGGTTATTCCTTTTAATTCACCAATAAAATGTGGCTTCACAGTGCAATAAAGAAAGTTTTGTTGCTTATGGGGTTTATTAGCAGCGTCTGTTTGTCCAATTTGTCAAGAGATTTTCACTATTTTTCTGATACTATTGCCAAATAAACCTCTGGTATGGAATATGGTGAGAAAGCAGTATCTGATCTCATGTCAGATGTTGCTGGCTTCTCCCTGGCTATTTGGCAGTCACTGATGGCACAGACAAATGTCCATCCCTTCAGGTTGAGTGGATGCTGCAACAACTCCCTCCCAAAAGGAAAAACAACTGCTTTGTGGTTAAATTTCACAATACTTCATTTTCTGAGAGAGAAGAGCACCCTCCAGTAGTAGGAACCACCTGTGCTCCTAAGAGGTGGAAGATCCCAGCACTAGGAACAGAGGCTGCTGTTCACACAAGAGAGTCACAAACATGTAATTTAGCTTCTAAATTCACAATCTCATGCTAGTTTGTGAACTACTCAGTCCACTCTATGGAAGAAAGAACTAGAGATGATACTTAAAAATACAGCCATTGGCAATTACAGATAGCCTTGTTTGAATTAGAAAAGTCCCCTGAAATTCTCCTGTACACCTCCCTGGACAAAGGCAACACACTTCCCTTATGACACACCCAAGATTTTACTGAAGACACCAGTCAAAATGCTCCAGAAAAAGAGAAAAAAGAAGGATGCTGGAAGTATTTTCAATGGCAAAGAATGTACTAGGCAAGGTACTCAAATGGTCAAGTATAGACAGGTAGGTACAACTGCTCAGTCATTCACTCCATTTGGGCAGTATTACAGCCACTGATTCTCTTCCCTTTCAGTTTGGTCTTACTCCTTGTGAGCCAGTGAGATTTTCTGGGACTCACCAGAAAAGGCAAAGAAACAGCAGCAGACAGAAATAGCCAGAGAACCTAGCACAGTGTGGGGAATATTGGGATGAAACACTACAGAGCAAGAATTTAAAAGACAGCCCATTAGGAATTGGAACAGGATTTTTAAATTGGATAATGCTATGGCTCTGGATTCTGAATCCTAACTCATAAGCAGCCAGTGTGACTGTGCAACACTGTCCTCTATTGGAAACAGCTCACCAGACCACCTGGAGCACTGCTAGGCATCCTCTGTCTCTGCTTATAGAAAAAAGCTCATCATTTGTTAGGGCTGAATATCTCCTGTGATTCTGCTGATGCCGTCTGTGAAGGCTTTCTCAGCATTATGCATCACCCACAAGTTGTTCCAAAATATGATTGTGCTTTGACTTTGCTTTGTGTTTATTGGGTACTGGTAGCAGTAAAAAGGCTTTGCACAAGAGAGCCATTGAGTTAATACAAGCAGATTTATTGTGCAGGCTTTACAATCTTTCTTGTGCATCAAGCTCAAAATCTCTAACACATTTATTAGGAGAAGGGATCCTGACATAAATGCTGCGAGGTGCCCCATAAATAACCTGGTGCCTCTGCAGAAGAGGAACCCAGTAACCTTCTGGAAGGGGTGCCATTCGTAACTCCACCTACTTGCAGAGACAGAACCGAGGATAAGGCATCATTTTTACAGCTACCATACCTGGAGACTCTGGGAATAAAAAAGCTGATTCACAGGTGCTGCAGAAAAATGATGAGTGCTCATGGTGTGCCAGGAGGAGGGTAACAGTGCAGGGGGCTGGCAGACACCTGCCTCTTGCACCATCTGGAAAATAAAGCAGGGGTTGCTGCAGCATGGAAGAGGAGTGCTCCAAGGCAGAGCAAAGGGGGTCCAGTACCACAAATGCTGCCTATCAGCTGCCATCTCCGCCTGATCTGCACTTACTTTCCTCCCTCCTCCTCAAGAAAAGACATTTCCTGACTTCACTACGTGGCTTGCCATCCTTCCCTCCATCTATTGCTTTTAAAAAATCCTGGTTTTCTATTTTCAATCTCTGTTGTCTTCTTCAAGGGCTTTGTCTTTCTATCATAATAGAAGGAGATGGGAAATATTCTCGAACTCTGGCTGGCTTACCTTTCTAATGAATGTGATTTGGGCAGGCTGGAGGGGTCAGGCATTTGACTGCTGAAACAACCACAGCATCTTTCCCAAAGGGCAACTAGCAAAGCCAAAGTGGGCTGTGAGATAGAGGAAAAATAACGTGACTAATTTCAGGGTACTTGATGTTACATAAAGGGACATCTTGCTGATGCATGACCTGGGTTCAGGTGATTTCTGTCGAAGAGTGCAGATGCTGTGTGTCACTACTGCTCTGTCATCTCTTCCCTCTTGGTGCCAGTACTGGTGATGCTGTCCTCAGCAAGACTGCCTACAGCAGGGGGAGTTCCCACTGCTATTGTGACAGACCTTGCAGTCATTAGTCTCAAAAATTGTTTTCCATGGTGTAAAAGAGACATAACAAATGGCTAATTTAATAAAATTGTGTTGGTTCATTCAGCCAGAGAAGCAAAGATAACAGCAGCTGATTCTGGAAAACATTGGAAGCTTTGAATAATTCATACCTGGGGTTCAAGGTAAAATGGTTTAAACTGATACCTTGGTAGTTGCACTGTCTTGCTGGCCTCAAAGAACAAGTTGTGAGTTATGAACTCGAAGTTCTGGTAATGCGAACAGCAATTCCCAGATTTCAGCTGGTTCCCACTTCCTCTTCCCCATCTGCTGCACTGATGTACTGTTGTGGAGGGAGGGGAAAACCAGAATGGAATGGCCCAAGAGAAGGCATTGCAGATAAAGAACAGTTGCAATGGAGATACTGAACTCTGTGCAGGTTCCTACTATTAGAAATTGCCCTGTGCTTAACAGCACTGAGGGCTTCCACACAGAATCATAGAACCCTTAAGGTTGGAAAAGGCTTCTAAGATCACCGAGTCCAAATATTAGCCTAACACTTCTGGGTCCACCACTAAGCCATGTCCTTGAGGACCACATCTATGTGTTTTTTGAACACTTCTGGGGATGATGATTTCACAACTTCCATGGGCAGCCTGTCAATCCCAACAATCAGCAATTCAGGCACCCTAAATCCAACCCTTCATTATCTTCTCTCTCTGCTGTAGAGGTGCCAGTCCTAAAGTTAAACAGGACAAAATCCCTGCTCCAGTCCAGCACCAGCTCTTCATCTCACCAGTGAAAGCTTTGCTGTCAGTTTTAAAGAACACAGAAATGACCTCTGACTCTGCATGGAGGATACAACCAGATATGGGACTTGCACAGCAGACACTGGGATTGCTCTGGTTATGAGAATGATACAGGTTAAAGAAGAGGCAGATGTGGCACCAAAAAGCATGAGAAGCCCCTTGTAGGTCTGCCCTGCTTCAGACCAGACACAGACATGCAAACATGTTGAATCAAAAACTGCACTACACAAAGCAGTGCCAGAGATAGAGCAGATTGAATTTTTCCATTGGATGCTACAGATTCATTATCTTCACTGTCAGCACTTCAATAGCAATCAAGGTTAGATCGCCAGCTTTCACATTACCTTAAAGGTGAAATGAAATGTTAAAATAAGCAGTTGAAAGGGCCCCTTCCACTTTCTTTTACCCAAGAATAAATCTGAGTAACTCAGAGAAGCTCACTGCCGAATAAGCAAACAGTTTGATCAGATAATTTTGTGGATGCAAGATCTTTAATAGATTTTTAAACAGTCCTTACCCAGTGACCTTTAAACAATTTATACTTATCATGTGTAAATTCATTATTTCCTAAAATGTTTTAATTTTGTAATTAACTTAGATGCAATACTGGTATTCAATCTT